TTGACCATGTCTACATGCCTAAATGCACTGAGTTGCCGCCATGTGATTGGCTGCTTAGAAATTAAGTGTTAACGAGCAGTTGGACAGGTGTACCTGATAAAGTGGCCGGTGAGTGTATATTTCTATCTGCATTTGGACTCATAAAAGTTAATTGTAATTGATAATTAATTAATTAGTGAATTAACCATCAGGTAATAAAGTAATCAGTCTGTTTAACATGCCAACTGGTACAATAAAAACTAACTCTGAGCAGGAAACAGGTCAAAACTGTACAAAATATATAATAATTTGGATGATTTCAGATGAAAATCCTTCTTTGTCTATAAATGTTCTCTAACTAGAACTCATCAGGTGGCAGTTTTAGCTTCACCTGAATCAGATCCTGAAAACATATTTTATGAAAAAAACTTGCTATGAGGTTATCAATCCTTAAATCTTAAACTTTTAAAAACTAACTGTAAGCAAAAATAATCATTAGCTGCAGCTCAGACATTTCTGATGAAAAAAAGGAAACATATTAGAAAAAATAGAAACTTAAAGGAAACTTCATTCTAGAAAGAAGTGGACTATGAGAGACGACGTTTATTACATTTTCTGTAAATTATTATTTTGCTCTATTGAAAAAAACAATACTTCTATTTTTCTACTCCCCTCTATTGATCTATTATAAACTCTGTTTCAGGTTTTCTGTTCTACAGGAAGAGAATTTATCTGTTATTTCTGCTAAAAACTACCTTGGAGAAAATATTTACTTAAACACATGAAGCCACATGTTGGAAAAACAGAAATGTGAAAGAAGGAAGCTGAGCTAAAGGATTTTGAAGGAAAAAAATATTTTACCAACTTTTTAATTTACCGGTACTTCTAAGTTTTCTTGGAGGGAAAATACAACATATCAGTCTCTGGATAGTAATGTTATGTTCACAGTAACTGCAGCTTTTACAGTATGTGGAAACACAGGAAAAGGTGAAAGGAAATATAAATCATAACCTACCCTGTACAGTGATGTTGACTGCGTTGCTAAAATCTCCTGATCCAGACTCACACCAGTACACTCCACTGCGAGACCAGTCTGTGCTTATAGAACATGAGGATCCAGTCATTGTCCCCCAGTTGGAGCAGTGNCAGTCTGTGCTTATAGAACATGAGGATCCAGTCATTGTCCCCCAGTTGGAGCAGTGAATGTCTGATAGTCCACCTGTTTCTGTAAACCTCCTCAGTCTCCACTCAGTGTTCTTCCCACTACAGCTCAGAGTGACAGACTGATTGATAAAATGTTGAACTCTGTCTGGAGTCACTAAGAGAGAAGCAGCTGGATGAGAGTCTGAAAAACAACAACACGAAAATAAAACATAATTAAATATTTGCAAGGCATCTCTTTAACAGTTATGTGGAAAAATTTTGTCCAATTTAAATGGATTGTAAAAAGATGTGATTTACAGAAAGATACACATCAAAGGGGCCTAATCACCTTCTATAGCAAAGACCCTAAACCTCAGATATTCATGTTAAAACAAAGCAATAGATGCCAAGCATTCATCCTGATAGTGTTTACTTTGTTCTTTTTGAGCATGAAAAGATTTTCTTACCAATTGCGATCAATAGACATAAACTCTGCTGTGCAGCCTCACCATCATCTAACAAACTCTGGCAGCTTCAGTTCCTACCTCAGTGAAAACCAACCAACCAATGTTCATATTTATTCTAAGCACTACTCAGCTGTTTCCCTCTTGGCATCAAAAATTTCAAGGGCGTAGGTTTCATTTGAACTTTGGTAGGGACACTATTGGTCGGATGTCATTGGTGCTTTGCGATGTGCATGCTCTTTTTTATGCTCGACGTGAGCATCCGTACTGATAAGAGGAATTCATTGTTAAAATAGAAAAGCATCATTTTGCTACATTAATAAAAAATTATAAGCACTACACTCATTAGATGCTGTTTATCAATGTTTGAATTATCACCGGCTATGATGAATGTGGAATTAGGACTGTTTTCCACTTTGAAATGGTTTCATTTGAACGACTAAGAGAGAAGGTAAATACAGTATTTTCCTTTGAAGATATAGAATTGTGCAGAGTTAAACCCCACTCTTATATTTTAACCTACTATGCTCTTTCTGAATCAAGCAAAATAATGCATTCATTAAAATATCAACTTCACTATAAAAGTTGGACTTCTGGGCTGTATTTACTCTGTGTAGCCCATTTCATGTATTTTATCTGGGGCTGAAAAAATGAATCGTATCAATTAATTATTTAAATAATCACCAAGTAATTTACAAGTGATTCATCATTAACTGGAGCATAGAGACTTTAAAACATACGGTAATATAAATGTAAAATGTGCCTTTCCCCGACAGAGCAACCCAGTTAGATCTGTAATTATACAAAAATTGTAAAAATACAATATATATAAAATATATAAGATTTAAAAAAATGTTTTTGTTATTCTCCATCCAGAACTCCTCATGTGGAAATATTTTAGTTTCACCTGGTTTATTTAGACATCACCTGAAGCACTGAAGGGCAGCTGCTTCACCTACAAGTTGCCCTGTATCATTATTACTGGATATCTGTGTTTCCTATAATCATATAATGTATAAGTGCATTTTTAATAGTAAATGATTAAATGTAACACAGCCTTTTATCATTGTCCTATATTGCTTACTGTCTGACTGTTTAAATAGCTCCTTATGTCTATTTCTTTTTAACGGCATCATCTACAAACACAACACTGAGAATGTGTATTCAAATATAAAATCACTTTCAACAATTATAAAAGACAATATAACACTATCTTATCTGTAATTTAATAATATCCAAAATAAACAGCCAGATTCAAGCGGTTTTACCAGACATTAATGTTTTTACTAATTTACTTATAGTCTGCGTGGAAATCTATGTAAGATAAAATCAATGTAAGACCCACTGTTGCAG